TTTTACCATTTGTTTACAAATTACGTTAAACCAACCAAACTTCATTGAATTTAAGTGTCATTTAGAATGTGACGCCTTACGACTGTGTTCACAGACATGTTTTTTATATCCCAAGTGCGCCTCGTTTTAGCGCCAAACATAATATGTCAGAAATGTGAGATAATTCTATAAATATGTTTAAAAGTGGAATTAAATCAAATCACACGAAGATTTCAATTAAGATATTTTAATTTTTGTTGGGAAAATGTTACACAATGCGACTTTAAAAGCAGGTATCACCGTTGTAAGCCGCTGTCAACAAAGTAGAAAAATAACTCCCTTAACAAGTCTGCGGGAACGAAACGACGACATTTTTCCTCGGATCGCGGAATGCGGCTGGAATGTTCTTCATCACTGCGCGACTTTCATGGGTCGGACCATTTTCTCAGGTTAGCGAGCCCTGTACAATTTGAAAGATGATGAACTTTATTCTACAGCAAAGGATGTGCCAATTTTGCGATTTAGATAAGATTGAGGCGAGAATAAGTATCATTTTATAGCCGATTGTACGTTATATAATAATAAGAGAAATTCCCTATATTCTTATAAAATAGATAAGTTCCCCAGCTTTGGACATTCAAATGAATTAGAAAAATTCATATTTCTTATGAAACTTGACAAACCATGTATCATCAGTTCTATCGTACATCTATAACTGCCTCAAGAACCAAGAAGAAGTTGAACATGTAAATAGTAGATCACATTAGTATGTATAGTTTAAGTGTCATTGCTGTATCATTTTCCTTGTCTATTCATGACCTGTACTTAGCTTGTTAGAGCACAAACGTACAATAAAGATCTTCTTTAATTTATTTGCACTCACATATAACTGCAGTACATGTAGTTTCACAGAAGAAACAATATAACTGAAGCTATGCTGCACTACATCTATTGTTTGCAGATGGACGAAAATATAATAAATCAGTGACAATGACAGTGACAATGAACTTTATTGCATGTTCACGCCCTATACGGGCCCAATACACTTAAGTTAAACAACTTGGTAACAAGGATAGAAGTAGCAATTGTTACATTCGTGTGCTATTTCTCTATCTACAGGATCTAACTACAGGATCTCTTCTCTCTTTTTGAAACATGTATGAACAAATTTACATAGTTTTTCAATTATATCATAGCGTTTGGATGTCATAATATGTTTGAACAATTCTATTTTCGGCAAGTATGCAAATTTCTTTTCTAACTGTAAGGAGCTAATAAAGGATTTCCGGATGTCATTGTATACCGCACATTCTAAAACAAAGTGTGCTTCATCCTCTATACAGTTATAGTTACATAGCTAATATAGAAAGAAAGTTTATTGCAAATTCATATCCGTGAGCCATTACCTAGAACATAACAAGTAAACAGTAAAAACGATAATAAGTAATGCTAATGCTACTTTGGATATATTTATTGTTGAATTTGATTTCTTTCTTGTGTGTAGTAGAGTATGAAATGATCGACATTGTGCACGTATGAATTGGGAGGTGTTGGCGATGGCTAAAGTCATGTATATTTAGGTATTCTATATTCTTATCTTCCGTGGTGTGATAAGGGTAGGTATAGGTTAAGTAAGGTTAGGGTAGGATACAATGTAACATTTTGCATGGTACATTTTCAGGCCAAATATAAACTCTTTATTTGCAAAATTTGTTTCCACAGTTTAAAATAAAAGTAATTTAAAAGAAAAGCAAAATAGCGAACATAAATGATAGAACAACTGTCTGATCAATGTATACTTAACCACTATGCTTGTTCTTGTGATCTATGACTTCTTTAAAGGCAATTTATAATATTTAGCCACACGTTAGGCATAACGCACACGAGTGAGTTTTGTGATCTAAGTAGAATCGAATTCTTTCAGTGATTGGTTCCATATACAATTTAATGAATTAAATCTAATTTTCTATAAAATGGTAAAAGAATTGTGACAAAATAATGATTAGTTCGGTCTTTTAGTGGCTTCGGCGGCATTTTCGTTGCTCTTTGGCCATGCATGTAGTTACAGGAAGCGGAATTCTTGTTTTTGTTTCTGCATGGAAACATGACAAAATTAATCCGCGCGTGGACGTCATCCATAAAAATTACTTGGCGTGGCCTTAGATTCAACTTTCTAGTCTCGGTAAGGATCATTTTAAAAGTCACTGACAGTATGTTAGGTTTGAGGGGGTACTTGGGCGGTGGTGACCCCTACAGGAGCATTTTGTGATATTTCCAATCAGAAATTGAAATATTTTAAGTGACAAAAATCGTCGTGTGATGATACAGTTTACCTCCATTTTTACCTTCACCAAGAAGGTTATGTTTTCAGTAGCGTTTGTCTGTGTGTGGGTGGGTGTGTATGTGTGTGTGTGTGTGTGTGGTTTAGCAAGATAACTCAAGAAGCAGTGAATGGATTGAAATGAAGCTTAGTAGGTGGGTAGGTCTTCATGAGACCTAGAAATGATTAGATTTTTGGCCCCCTGGCGGCTTTCCTAGGTACTGCAGCAGAACTTCCGGTTTTGATATCTCGTGATCTGGACATGCTAGGGTCACGTGATCACAAATTTTGTGTAACAGATAGCTCTTGGGATAGGAAAGAAGTGACATGAGTTTGGGTCCCCTAGCGGCTTGTTCTGGAACTGCAGGAGCAATTGTTGAACAATTTTCGAAGTAGGATAACTCTTGAACCGGTTGACGGATTGTCGTGATTTTTGGTATGTCGGTAGTTGAAGTGATGCTTGACATAATTAAATGACAATTATGCAAATCAGGAGCTAATTTTCATAGTTAATGAGGAAATTCTATAAATCTGCTTTGTTCGATAATAGAACTATGAAATACTTATGACATCTACTTAAGAACGAAAAAAACATCTGAGGATATAGATTATGTAAATGAGGACCTAATTTGCATAATTAATGACTTCATGTTTATAACTTTATAGTTGTAACTGCTGGGAATTTCATACTTGCCTCATTTGGAAGTTAAGTGAAGGTGAACATCAATAAACATAATTTATTCAAATCATGACCTCATTTGCATAATTTATGAGGAAGTGCTATAATAGCCTTTCTGTTAAGATATGGCCCTCATTGGGTGGAGAATATGATAAATTGATATAATCCATGCAAATGATTCTCTCATTTACAAAATCAATGATTTAAATTGTATAATTCGTCAACCGCAAGGGTTAACATCATTTGGCGAAGGTATGAGATCGTGGAACTCTTGTTCAACATTTTTTTGCGAATATCTCACATTTCTGACATTTATGTTTGGTGCTAAAACAGCTTACACGTGGTGCACTTTGCCACCACAAAATACCAAAATGTAAACAAGCATGGCTGACAGCAGTGTTGTCAGAATTTTAACACGTACACACTTCAGGTGTCATATTCAAGTTAGCACCTCCACTTCCTTAATGGTACTTATTTGGAACGAAGTAGGGTTGATCTTTTTGTTGAGAATGAGTTTCATAAATGAGTGTTAATTTAGTTCAGCTGGCTTCAAAAGTTAGCCTCTACCAGACTATGACAACTATAACCTCCGTGGTATGTCATCCGTCTTTCTGGTCGACTTCTGCTCTTTCTAGCCGCCTCTCGGAGCCTGGTATAGGCTATTCAAAAGTGACTTGTTTGTTTTTTGTCCGTCCTTGATGAGTCCCTGTAACACATTTTGCCGAATATGGCTTGCCGAATTGCCCCAAACAATTTTAGGAGTACACTGTAGGTCAGCTGGTGTTCGACTAGGTCGGCTAACTGTTCGGCTGCGGCCTGTTTTAAAATGTTTTAAACGTTCGGGTGTGGATGGGGGGTTCAGCCTTGTATAGCTGGTGGTTGGCTATTTAACTTAACTTGGATTTGGTTCCTATAGAAAGGTAGGCGTGGCCTAAATTTGGTCAGACGCTTCCCGAATTCAAACTTCAGCCAAGCTTAGTCGGCTCGTGTTCGGGGAAAGGTTCTGAATGTGTGACAGGGGATTTAGTTTTTAATTCAACGTAGAGCGTATTTGGCACATTTTGCGTAGAGCGTATTCGCCGTTTTAATTCCACGTATTGCGTTGTAGCCACTTGGAATTTATCGTAAAGCGTAATGGAGAGCTCTCAAAATTTAGCGTAGGAGCGTTGTCGGGACCCCATGCAGGCCCCCGTTTAATAGCCTCCTCCACCATAACTATTAAATGTAGAGGTCCCGATCAAATTATACTAACTATTACCTTTGCCAAGAGGTGCTTGTGTGTTTAGTACCTTGCTAAACCTTATTCAAACACAAAGTTAGTGCACAATGATAAATTTTAAAAACAACCACTGTTGCCTTTATCAGGGTACGTAATTAATGACCAATCAGTTTCAAACCTACACTCGCGAGAGTTACAGACACGTGACCTATTTACACGAGACTTTGCCAATAAGTGACGTCAGCAATTGATCAAACGTGCCAGGTAGTTTATATCGTCCACCGTCTCTCTTTAGTGATGGCTGGAGTACCCTGATGAAGGTAACAGTGGCTATCAAAATTTTGATCTCTGTCTACCCTTGTGATGGAATCAAGTTCAGCATCGTAATATGATTACTGCCAACACAGATGAGTTTCTATGATGTTTGTGTGTTTGTTTCCTTTCCTAATGAGGACAGGTTCAGTAGTGTCTGTAACTTTGTTACTTCCGGATAAAAGATTCTGAGTCATTTGTATTCGTAAAGGGAGACCTTTATATAAGCATCTTAAGCATTCGGCCCCCCACTGTTATATTTCAGTTATATTTACTTTTTTAAGTGAAGATTTTTAAGTGCGAATAAATTTATGACAAATATATCATTTTCCCCCAGGTATCAAGTGATTTCTCCCAACCGGCAGTCGACGCTCGCTGTGGTCATCTTCGCTGCCGGAAAGGTAAGTATTTGGTCTCTAGCTAAAAGGAATGTAGTTAAGGTTGAAAGTAAAATGTCGGTTTTCGGAGCGAAATGTTTCCCTTTGATGGTGATGCTTGCTCTGGCGGCTGCTGCTGTGACGTCAGACAGGCCCTGCTTCCCCGGATGTCAGAGAGCCGACTGGTCCGCCTGTATTGGTGACATTACCGAGAGCAATATCATACCTCCAGGTTTAACCGATCAGGCGTTCTGCATGACGTGTAATACAACCCCCACCCTGAGTCTGGATATGGCTTGCTTGAATGACACTCCACGGGGATTCGCTGTGAGAGGCCGTCCACTCCACGTTCTGTCAGATCTGAAGCCCCCACACTTCTGTGCGGCCAGGGTGGCGGTCCTGGGTCTGATAGATGGTAACATCACCGACGTTGACATGCCTGAGTCCTTTCTGGTGAGTGGGTACACACATCTGCTCAAGTTGGCTCTGAACTCTAACAACCTCACGCATGTCAGGCGGAGTTGGTTCAAAGGTTTGGAGACACTGTCCCATCTGAGCTTGTCCAATAACCAGATCGATAGGATCGAGCCAGGCTGCTTTGCGGACCTGCCCCGCCTTGTCCTGTTGAATCTAGACAACAACCTCCTGCATGATGTAGAAGCCGACTGGTTCCCGAGGTCTCACAAGCTGGCTTATCTTTACCTCAGCTCTAACCGCATTGACAGGGTCCCTGCAGACGCTCTGCAAAACCTACAGGATCTCAGCGGACTCAGCCTTGGGAGAAACCATCTTTCTTGTCTCCACAATGAAGTTGTCTGTGGCCTGGACAACCTGAGACAGCTCTATATGAGCGGTAACAGGATGGTGACGATGTATGGTGGAACATCAAGCGGAGTCATGTGGAGTCTAGTCCGCAAGAACGACTTCCGCCGTGGTGATATTGTGAAGCAGAAAATATCGTTCGAGGTACCCCATCTCCTCCTCTGCCTAGTGCATGACCCTGACAAAAACGAGCAGTCCCTGAAGTGGATGTTTGATGTGTCCCCGACCGTCCCTCGTCATACGACCGCCGGTTTTCCCGACTCCTGCAGTGTGCGGGGTGATTCTGTCACTTACACGGGGATCATCAGACAGCCGCCGTTCGTTGTTGTTGCCGGAGTTTCAGACAAGAATGTTCAGAACCGTCCTGAGCAGTGCCGAGAGATGTGGGAACGCGATGGCCTAGCAGTGGAGCTAAAGGGCGGTTCAAGCCTGAACATAGTTTCCGTTGGTGTTGGCGACCCTGCCTTGGTTAGTGTTGCTATGATGATTGACACTGCACAGAACACCGACACACACCCTCCCACACACACATGGAAGCTACAGGATGATGCATTCTCAACACACACACAGAAAGTGAGCTGCACTTTACTCACAAAGCTAGGCCCTCAGCAGTTGTATTTCAAGCCCCCCAAGGTTGGAATAAAGCCACGGAAAAAATGCCCAGTCAGATCCCAAAGCCAGACTCCCAAGCAAGGCAACCAGACGACGTGGCCATCGGTGTCTACACACGTGTTCACCACTCCTCCCAACTCTGACCACTCTACACCATCTCCAGGGCACCTGTTCCTACTCGAATGCTATTGGCTCCTCTCGGTCAGTGTCACGGTGGTAGGGGTGCTTTTGTCAGTTGCGCTAACGGCCTGTTACTTGCTGTACAAACGACGACTAAACAACCTGCCCGACGACAATGTACAGGTGTGGGTAATCCCCGACGGTATGCCAAATCACTGGCCAAAGGCAGCTTCCCTGCCCCTTACGGCATGTACAACTAGGAAGGTGCGAGGTGAGAATTTATCCCGCTTGTCACTACCTGCAGTTCTCCATACGATCGACCCTACCTACAGCGAGATCCCGGATGACATAGCTGCTGCTCATCGGCCTCTGCCTGCCCTCCCGCACACGTACAGCGAGATTCCAGACGCCGCTACCTTCGGTCTTGTTCGCTCGGCCTCCTTCCCTCCCACATCAACCACTCACGGAGAGGTTACAAGTGGTGAGATGGTCCATATGTCACTGCCTTCTGGTCTCCATTCAATAGAGCCTACATACAGCGAGATTCCAGATGCTGTAGCTGCTGCCTGGCGTCCTCTGCCTGCCATTCCACGTGCGAACTGGGAGAGCGAAGGTGATGTGGCTGCTTCCCAGTCTCTGCCTTCCCGTCCTCATACGTATAGCGAGATCCCAGATGACAGGGATAGCGGGCCCGTGTCTGCCTTAGCCCATGCCGGCCAGGCTTGTTCAGAGGTTCACGCAGTCAGAAACAGGGGAAGGAATCGACTGTCCTACCAGAACAACGTTTTATCGACGCCTAGGAGATACATCCCCACGTATGGAGCGGCCAGGCAGATCAAGGCCCGTGGGGTAGCCTTATACAATTGTGCCGAAGTTCAGGGCGTGCGAGGTGGTAGAGAACCGAATGCAAGAGGGCTGAGGCACCATGGCACACCACGCCGTGTGTCCCTCCCAACCGTAACACTACCTAACACCTACTGGCCATGGGAGATTCCAGGGGAGGGAATACCTAACACACCACGGCGTGCATCTCTACCCACCGTCACACCACCTAACACGTACTGGCCATGGGAGATCCCAGAGGAGGGAACCCGTAACACATCACGGCGTGCGTCCCTCCCAGCCGTCATACCGCCTAACACCTACTGGCCATGGGAGATCCCTGGAGAGGGAACCAATAACACAGCAGAGCGCGCGCTCCCTCCCACACTACCTAACAACTACTGGCCTTGGGAGATCCCAGGGGAGGGAACACGTAGCACAGCACAGCGTGGGTCCCTCCCAGCCATCATACCGCCTAACACCTACTGGCCATGGGAGATCCCTGGAGAGGGAACCCGTAACACAGCACGGCGTGTTTCCTTCTCCACCGTCACACTACCTAACACCTACTGGCCATGGGAGATCCCAGGGGAGGGAACCCGAAACTCAGCAGAGCGCGCACTCCCCCACACACTACCTAACACCTACTGGCCATGGGAGATCCCAGGGGAGGGAACCCGTAACACAGCACGGCCTGCGTCCCTCCCCACCGTCACACTACCTAACACCTACTGGCCATGGGAGATCCCAGGGGAGGGAACCCGAAACTCAGCAGAGCGCGCACTCCCCCACACACTACCTAACACCTACTGGCCATGGGAGATTGAAGGGGAGGAGACCCGTAACACAGCACAGCCTGCATCACTCTCCACTCTACCTAACACCTACTGGCCATGGGAAATCTCAGGGGAGGGAACACATAACACAGCACGGCGTGCGTCCCTCCCCAACTAAAGTTCCTGTCACACATTCGGTACCTTCCCCCTACACACTACCAGGTGCATGAATGTGAAAATTATGTGAATTTCGTGCAAAATTTTAATGAAATGTGAAAAAATGTGATGTAATGTGAATCCCATTAGAAATATGTGAAACCCAAAATGTGATTTTTTTTCAAAATGTGAATCGTCAAATGTTATTTTATGTGAAACAATGTAACTGTTTGAAAAATGTGAATCGATTATGTGAAATCACACAACCCGAAAAGATGGCCAAAAAAAATGTGAATTCAAAATGTGAGAAGATGTGATGAAATGTGAAGCGGTCTTACCCCGCAAACTGAAAGGAGTCAAATGTGAAATTATGTGAAGTTCAAATCACATTTTTTCACATAAGAGGTCAGAATGTTATTTTATGTGAAAATGCTTCACATAATTTCACATTTGCCTATGTCCTAGATGATTATGTGATTTTATGTAAAAAATTTTTGTAACAGGTAACAAACTTATTTACGACCGTTTCTAGGTTTCCGAGATTCCTCCTCAAATAGGTGTTAAAATGCAAACACATCGGGGTGAGACAAACTTGTGGGGCTTCTCGCGCCTCCGCTTTAGGGTCTTCGCCTCAGGTGTGAAGTTCCAACTTCACGTTGAGGTGCCAATTACACCCGATTTGCATAATGAGCGATGGCTTCTGACATTTGTTCTTGGTCAGGGAACTATGGTGAAGATAGTATAAATAAGTGCGGAAAAGCGTAACCAAAGAGTTTTAACTAAGAACAATTAAACAAGGGGTTTTGACGATAACCTGCGCCCAGAACGCAAACCAATTAGAGCGCCCGACAGGGATTTCCAGCTTTTATGCGTCTCTCGCGTCAAAGCTAACATGGATTGTGTCTAAGCCCATTCGATTACACTGTGAAAAGAGGGCTGTTACACTGCAGACGTTTTGAGTGCGTGTGCTAGGAAACGTTCTGTCAAGTGAAGGGCGCCGGCGGTATTGTATTTGGACTTTATTTTCAAACACTATAGTACGCCTGTAGCCTATTTTTATCCTCTTAGAATCCTGTATGTCCTTGAATGTTACAAAAATGATTTTCTGCTATCAACTGTACATTTTTCACATATTTTCACATACCCGAAGTTCACTACGGTCCGTGTCTATATACACGGCGCTGTATGTACTGAGTTCCTGTACATTTAGAACTCATAGAATATGTTTAACTCGAGACGGATAAAACCATTTTCAAACCGATATACACCATAATACTGGGTAACTGTGGACTATTTTAATTTTCCTTTAGATTAAACGATTCTTTCGTTATCAGCCTGGAACCCATAACTTCTCAGTCAACAACCTACCCGAAGTATACTACGGTCCGTGTCTATATATACGGCGCTGTATGTACTGAGTTCCTGAACATTTAGAAGTCATAGAATATGTTCAACTCGAGACAGATAAAACATTTTTCAAACGGAGAAAGACCATAATACTGGGTAACTGTGGACTATTTTAGTTTTCCTTTAGATTAAACGATTCTTTCGTTATCAGCCTGGAACCCATAACTTCTCAGTCAACAACCTACCCGTAGTTTACTACGGTCTGTGTCTATATGCACGGGGCGTATGTACGGCGCTGTATGTACTGACTTCCTGAACATTTAGAAGTCATAGAATATGTTCAACTCCAGACAGATAAAACATTTTTCAAACGGAGAAAGACCATAATACTGGGTAACTGTGGACTATTTTAGTTTTCCTTTAGATTAAACGATTCTTTCGTTATCAGCCTGGAACCCATAACTTCTCAGTCAACAACCTACCCGAAGTTTACTACGGTC